GTCTAGACTGGTTGAAATGATTGCAGACAGTCTAGACTGATTGGAATGATTGTAGACAATCTAGACTGGTTACAATGATTGTAGACAGTCTAGACTGGTTGAAATGATTGTAGAAAGTCTAGACTGGTTGAAATGATTGTAGACAGTCTAGACTGGTTGAAATGATTGTAGACAGTCTATGGAGTTGTGATTAAAGACGGTCTGGAATAGACTTTCCCTCACAAACAAATTATTAACAAACTGAGACCAAACAGCAGAGACTAATGAGTGTTACTCACTTCTTCTAGTAGTTTTACAATAACAGTGATACTACCACCAAGTTCAATGATGGGTCTGATGTCAAATGATACAATACTTGGCTTCATCGGCTCAACAAACACCACATTATAGGTACTATTATGAGTTGAATCTCTATGAGTGTACTTTATTGAGAAGTCCTGTACATATTTCAAACGTTCCATTGGTGCACCAGGTAAGCAAGTATTGTTGTCAAAAACATCATCAAATGTATTTAGGTTTGTAAACTGTGATTCCTTAGGGTTCATTTGATACAGTGATGATGTCCTGCTTTCCACCTCATTGCTGTCAACATTCTTTACATAGGGAAAAGTTGACTCTATGTGTGGGGTGAGTACTTCAATATTCATGGGATGGTGATGACTGTCCGAAGTTGGAACTTGGTATAGATGGTAACCATCTGATGCTTTACAGTCTACAAAAAGAAACATGTTATTATAGTATGATAGCATATTTGATTGTAGTACCCTGGTAGAAAGAACAGAATACCACTTCAGTTAACAAATTAGCAGTCATGGTCATCAGGGGAAAAATAGGGAAGAGTGTGATACCAGATCCATTCTATATATACATAGGAACCAGATTCCTCTCACACCAGGATGTTACCAGATTCCACTCATACCAGGGTGTTACCTGGTTCCACTTATACCAGTGTGGTACAATATTCCTCCCATACAAGGGTGTTGCCAGGTTCCACTCATACCAGTGAGGTACCAGATTCATCCCATACCAGGGTGTTACCAGGTTCCACTCATCCCAGTGAAGTACCAGATTTCTCACATACAAGAGTGTTACCAGGTAACATTCATACCAGTGTGGTACCAGATTCCTCACATACCAGAGTGTTACCAGGTTCCACTCATACCAGTGTGGTACCAGATTCCTCTCATACCAGGGTGTTACCAGGTTCCACTCATACCAGTGTGGTACCAGGTTCCACTCATACCAGTGTGGTACCAGATTCCTCACATACAAGAGTGTTACCAGGTACCACGCATACCGGTGTGGTACCAGATTCCTCACATACCAGAGTGTTACCAGGTTCCACTCATACCAGTGTGGTACCAAGTTCCTCACATACCAGGGTGTTACCAGGTTCCACTCATACCAGAGTGTTACCAGGTTCCACTCATACCAGTGTGGTACCAGATTCCTCTCATACCAGAGTGTTACCAGGTTCCACTCATACCAGTGTGGTAACAGATTCTTCACATACCAGAGTGGTACCAGGTTCCACTCATACCAGTGTGGTACAAAAAACTTTCCTTTCAAGTTCCAGATCAATCTTATATTTGTGTGGTACCAGATGCTTTGCATTTCAGTGTTGTACCAGATCACCACCATATCATTTTGATTTCAGATCTTTTCCATATCAATATGGTTCCAGATTGCTTCCATATTGATGAGGTACCGGATCTAATTCATATTGTAGTGTTATGTACTTCCACACAGAGCACAAATCAATTATTTGATTCTTGGAAAATGTCATAACAAAAATATTGAACAAGCAATAGTTATTGTATTGTAGTGTTAAACAAACCTTCAACTTCTACACTGAGTACAAAAGAAATGGATACATTTTCAATCGTTCGTTTCACTTCTAAATAATACCAAGAAGATCTGAGTGGTTGTATGACCTGTATGTCACATGTATCATTACAATCAGTCCAATCAACGTATTGATGAGGAAGTGCATTTGGACGAACAGCAATTTCCAGGGGACATCTGGTATCTAATGTAAGCGATGAATTTAATTCACAACCATTCAAAATGAACTGCAATGTCCTGAAGTTAGTCGCCACATAAAATCTATGCAATACAAATATAAAAACAATTACTTAAGTTAGTCAAATACAACACACTCTACAGCCAACCCTTTGTTGTACTAAATGAGTAACATTTTGTTACTGACATCCAAATACAAAAAATTAATTTTCCAGCTATGATTCTGCATACATTTGCATAATTTTACTTCTACCGTATTACCCCGGGCACGCGCCCCTCCCTGGGCAAGCGCCCACCCCCCTGTTTTCACAAAAGTTACATGTTGGGGACATCCTCGGTTAAACGCCCAGGGTGATTTTTAGCCAAGAACGGGGTCAACAATAAAGTTTTATTTGTCAAAAACTAACGCGTTTAATTTATTTAAATAGTGTGTTTGTTACGGTAGTTCTCTTTTTGGAGTGTGTGGTGGCCCTGATAAGGGCCGTTTTGTTTGTGTTTTTACGTAAAAACTCATTGGAACTTAACGACGTAAGATGAACCACGCAGCATGTTGGCGCACACGTTCTGCTTTCTCTTCATTCGTGATGAATCCAATATTGCAATAATCCATACCTTGAGTGCTTTGAAGCACTTAGCTTTGGTTTCAAAACGTAGCACTTCGCTGACTGTGAATCCATAACAGAAGAGCATCGCCATACGATGGACGCAGGGCTTTTTGGCAACGACCGCAAACGTATCCGTGTCCAGCCATTGCTTGGCCACGTAGAGGTCAAAATACGCGTTCTATTTTTACGCGTTAAGTTTGGCTCTTCCGTGTCACCCCCTCCGGAAGTTTCTACTTTCGCGGCCTAATTCGCTGCTTTTTCAAAAAACGTCGAAAAAACACAAGAATTAGTAGAAATGTTCCTGTTTTGGACGAATTATTGATAGAGAATAATTTCTTTATTACAAAAATGCTAAAAAACCTGTGAGTTTTTGCCTTAGTTTTTTTTTTATTGGCGAAAAACTGTGAACTTCCCTTTATCATGTACACCTAGCGACACCGATGCCAGCTGACTGTGAACGGGAGCTAGCACTTTTGAGACATCACGTCGTAAACTTGCTACTTTCTTTCCATCCTTCATCACAGCTATGGCATTACGGTCATGTGGATTATTTTTCTGTCGTTGAAGAAAAACATTTTGCCGACCTCAAGTCCATTATGATAACCATAATGAGGCATGCCGACGATGGGAACTTGTTGCATCATAATTTTGTCGTGTGTGTGGGTGTGTGAATAAATCATGTTAATGAGGTCGACCAGAGTTTATTTTCAGTCTGTTTTTTATGTATTGCCATTTGGATATGTTTATGTA